AACATTCACTGACATTTAATATGGGCTCGATAAATAATTATATTTACATTTATCTGAATATTATCTAAAATATAATAGTGTTATCAAGTAAAAATTATTTGTTTGAAATCTCGTATAAGCAACTAAAAGTTTAATGTTTCAAAAAATCAACAGTTAAATATTACCTGAGATACACTTTTACTTTCAAAATGCATAACGAGGAGAAGAAAAATCTGAAAATTAAGTATATTTTATCTATAAGTTTAATAAAAGATCGCTTATAAAATTATGCACCTACCTTTCCGAATTCATTTATTTATTATTTATTTAAAGTCAGTCTAATTTATCAATGCACTTTTACCTGGATTATTTGTTAGCATCTGTAGCTTTATATTTTCATTTCAAATAAATCAAATATAGCGACGCTTTACAGCTTAATGAAGATAAAAAAAATGTGGCTGCATAGATTATATGTTCTTGAAAAATATATTTGAGTGTAACTGATGCCATAAGTTTAACCGCTGTAAGTAAGAAAATTATAACAGCAGTTCTGTACTTGATGTATGTTGCTGCTAGTAATATCACCTTTATATAGACAAAAGCTCCAATCTAACAACAACAACTAGTTGTTTAATGCTTTTGATCGAATAATGAAATAAGATAACACGTAAGAATGAAAACGTAGGAGACTCCATGGTAATTGTATATTATAAGAAATATAATAAATAAATCCGAAAATTTCAAATTTAAATGTACAATTTATTAATCGTTGTTAAGTCAGATAAAACAATACACTTTGATAACAATTATCTATTAATAATATGTTGAACATTTAAAGTAAAAATTTTTAATATCCAATGCAATCATGAATCAAAATCTTAATTTTGATAAATATTATATTATAATGTAATTTCATTTATAATTTTCATGACAGCAATAATTTCTCAACATAATCAAGTTGATAAAAAATAAAGTCTTTCATTTTATGGACATAGTGTATCAAGTACGTAGGAGCTTAAGCCTTTTTTAAAATTTATATTATACTTTTTATCTTTTGATATGAGAAAACTTATTAATATTAAAAATATTTACAACTACCACAAGGAAAAATACTGTGCAGCAAAATACTGTAATACTTGAAATAAATAAAAAATTTCCACTTAAAAATTTACTTCAATAATAAATGAATTTAAATATTTCGTAGACTATCTGTTCCTTAAAATTATCACATATTCAATGTATTATCGTTTCAAACACATACAAAAATATTTTTTTTATCTTCTGTAAAATTTACGTGAATAAATGAATAAATTAAAAATTTTGTATATCATTATAATAATGCATATATTTTATAAAAATTTTAATTTATAATAATAATCCAAGAAATTAAAGATAATTCTTGTATGCAAATATCTTATCAAAATGTCTAAGGTACTAAGAGTCAGATCAATAGCAGATTATAGTTTGCTTGTAATTATGTAAATTATTTAGAGTTTTAAAAAAGAAAAAAAGACAACCCAGATAACACATACGAGTGAATAAAATACACACGAAGTCAGCACATTTTAGCCGTTTTCTAAAATCGGACATTTCATAGAACTACGCTAAGCTGTGTCAATCACGTCTAAAAAGTTATTTCAGCTCACTCAGATAATTTTTAAATTACCAATATACGTTCCGATTTTCAAAATCTATTCTATCACAAAAAAAAAAAGATTAATTATATTGATTTATTATCTTAACGATGATTCGAACCAAGATTTCGAAGATTTCTTTTTTTACTTTTTGCGCTTTAATACATTTATCACTAGTCTATTTTTCCCTTATATATTTATATTCCTTAAATTCTATACTGTTTATAAAAAAACGCTCATTATTGTTACGTTTACTTATATTTGATATAACTAATCTTTGTGCAGTAATAGAAAACTCAAATATTAATGTCGTACCGATGGAAATGACGCAAATCGTACTTTCGAGTGTTCTAATCTTATTTGCACGAAGGAAATCAGCACTTTTGTAAAAGCTTTGCATTATTTCGTATTGAGCTGTGTCACGAGTAAATACAGTAACACATTAGTAATATTTAATTATTAAAATTTTTCAAACGAATAAGTTAAACATGTATAACGATTTTAAAAAGAAAAATTTATGCACTAATAACTATAATAAAATATGTAACTCATAAAATAAAATTTAGTTTTTCATTTATTTATCGGTTCACTTTTACCATTCTGTGAGTTCATAATATATTTATTACGATACATAGTATAATTATTGATTTTATCGCTATTAAAATAATAAAAAGAATAATAAAATATTAATTGAAACAATTGTTGATATTTTATAAACCGTAATCTAATGAATTATTCATATTTACAATTTACGACATTATTTTTTGACACCGTTTGCAATAATTTATTTTCATATCTACAAATCTACTACATATTTTACAAATTTTATACAATTATAAAACATTTTAATAAAAATTTTTGTAAATTACTTCAATATATACAAATAATTTCAACGTTCTATATAATTATTTATCATCCTTTTTTGAAATTACGTTCTTGTATTTATTCTTCTAATAAGCAAAAAACTAAATAACTAATACAATTGTATTAAAAATAAAAGAATTTTTAAATTAAATTTATAATAGTGTAGTCTTTGTATTTTTGACAAGTAAAATTTTTAATTACTATTCCTAATTTTTTAAAATTCAATAATAAATAGTATTTTACAATGTTCGTTACAATAACAATAAATGCCATAGAAAGTGTAATATTGCATTATAAATTTACGTGTGAAGTTTAAGAAGCTTGATTTATTAAAATATTAATAATTAATAAGGTTAATTATTTTATTATATGCATATTTATATATAAATTTAAAATCAATTACAGGCATATTTTAAAATATATTGATACAATAATAAAGTCATATTAACTAAAATAAGAATAATTCATATGGTACAAAATTAAATTTAAAATGATACAAACAAGCGTAAAGAATTTTATGCACAAATTAAAATTTTTATGAGCTACATCACTGAATATTAACAAAGCATCTGCTCAAAATCTGTAATACTTTATCTGGATAATACATGAAAATAACTGTAAATGGAAATATATTCGTTTTTTATAGATGTATATATATATATATATATATCTATATATATATCTATATATATATATATATATATATATGTGTGTGTGTGTGTGTGTGTGTGTGTGTGTGTGTGTGTGTGTGTGTAATGATTACAAAAGAAAATTAAATAATTAAGTTAAATTATGACTTTTATCAGTTTCTGTGCAAATACGTTCCAATTTAATAGTCTATATGTCACTGTCACTTAGTTGTGGAATGTACGCGACAGCATAACTGACGAGTGATGGCGCCGAATAATTATATATAATGATTAGGTACACTACTAAAAACGTATCCTAATTATAATTAGTTACATACAATTAATTGTTATTAAACTGATATTTTTGTAATTATGTTATCACAACTATTGCATATCCATATATATATATATATATATATATATATGTGTGTGTGTGTGTGTGTGCGTGCGTGCGTGCGCGCGCGCGTGTGTGTGTGTCTGCGGTTATGATAAATAATATAAAATATCAATAGTGAAAATAATGAATAAAATTTTGTTTGCTTATTATCAATTATAAAAATTAAGAAGCATTTACATTGAAAAAAATTTAACATGTTATTAAATCGATAGTAATAGTAATAATAATGATAATAATAATGATAATGATAAAATAATATGAGAAATAATAATAGTAATTATTCATGTTCAACCAGATTATTTATACTTAATTGTATGATGCATTGAAAAGAATGTTTTATCAAATATCGAAAAATAACTTGTATTTAAAAAATTTTTTACTAAACTTTGAATTTCGTTAATCAAATGTTACGTTAAATATATACATCTATTAAATATGCATTATTAAACGAAGCTTTATATGATTGAACAGAATTTCAATTTATAATATCTTGCTATCTGAAAACTTTTATTTTCAATTTTCATGTTATAATACTTTGTTTTTTTTTTTATCGAAATATCGAATTATTTTTTAACGATTTTAATTTAAAAAAAACAATTTCAATGTGCAATATCATTTATTTTAATAGATACTTTAATGTGCTATTTCAAAGCAATACTTCTTTTATTGCAAATGCCGACAACATAAAGGAAAAATATTTTAAGACAGTGTAGATCACTTATACGTTTTATGTATTTTTTCGCATGAATAGCACGAGAAGTAGTTGAAGTGCGCAAAAAATGTTTATCTATACATATTCATAGATTACAACCAACAAAATTTGAGCGTTGCATCGGATTAATATGCATATACCGCATTACCGTGGGCTGCCACGCAATTCTATATCGATGGCTCAGGATCTTGACTTTCATGATTCGAACGTAAGCCTCGAGGGGCCGTCAAACGAATTCCAGAATTCAATTTAACTTTACTCGCCTCGTGGTCTTATGTTCAAATTTATTATCTACACGGACAATATTACATATTCATATACAGTCCACGATAAATTTGAACTAAACGGTTTTATCGTCGATTTATATTCGTTACTCGCATGCTCTTCCACTATCAAAGCATTCATTTAATCCCATAAGGACAGCATAACCTCTTTCATGTATCGTGTTTTTATGTTATTGTTTATGTTATATGTATATATATATATATATATATATATATGTGCGCGCGCGCGCACACACACACACACACACACACGCGCGCGTACGTACGTACGTACGTATGTAAAAATAAAATAACTCTTCAGAAATGTGCTTTAATTTTCTAAGAGAATAAGATTTACGAAAATGCCAAATTTTTACCCATCCTTTCAAAATACACCGTATGCAGTCGGTTAAATGTCCTTCAAACTTTAATCTTAAAGCATTATTGAAGTATTTAAAAGATAGTTTACAGTCAATTGTTGATTGAAAATAATGTTTTACAACAAAAATCGCTGCAACTTACCAAGAACCACTAGCTTAACGGGCCTACCGACGAGGAGCTTCCCTTGGTCGTCCTCGAGTTGGCACGTCCAAATACCATCATCTTCGAGTCGTACGTTATCGATATGCAACGCCGCTGTCGACGAGTCGCCAATATATCTATGACCCGTGCCACTCATTTCCGTCCTGGTATCAATGGTTATCATATCTACCGCTACTCCCTCGTGTAACCAGCTTGCTGGTCGAATTCTATAACTCCTATATGAAGGTTCAATGCATCATTAATTCATGAAATCAACATCGAGTTTTCATATGACTTCTTATTTAGCTACAAACAAATGGTTTGTTAAACTAAATATTTTGCCAAGGGAATTTCCAATGCAAATAAAATCAAATGTTGCGCGGTGAAATTATTTGAAAAAAAATAAATAAAATAAATAATAATAAATAAATAACAAAAAAAAAAAAAAAAACACGTAAATGTTTCGGCAAAAAGTTGCATTTCAAAAAACACTTTTTCCATTCTTCCTAAATATATATCAATAAATTATCTATATATATATATATATATATATATATATATATATATCAAATACATAAAATATTTTTATACTAAAATGCGTGAGAGATTTTTGAAAAAATTATTTCTCCAAATATATTAGTTAGAAATGTAGAAAAGCAAAGTAAAGAATAATTTTGATTATTTTTTTTGTTTCACAAGTTATAATTAGATAAGAAAAATACGTTAACATTTCGTCTCGTAAGATATTTACGAATATTTTATACGATCATCCGTTATATATATATATATATATATATATATATATATATATATATATATTATAAAATGAGGAAATGAAAAATAATAGTGAAAAATTGTTCGGATCGAGTAAAATGTTATTATCGATAAGTAAGAGAAGAATGTAATAAAGATACCTACCTGACGGCCGGCATAAGGAGCCTCGTGTAATTGCCCTCGAGATCACAGGGTAAAACGACTTTGCTGAGGGGCTTGACGACAAGCTCAACGGGTGGCTGAGTAGGTAGCGCTGACAAGGAAACAGTGTCGACGGATACATTGGAGGACTCTGTTCTCCAGGCGGCATCTTCGGGGGCGAGCAAGGCTGCGGGTTCGACGACATCTTCGTCGCTTTCGGTCAGAAGATTCAACGACGCGGCGGTGCTCGTCGGGCTCGATGTCGTCGTTGTCGTAGTCCTCTTACTCCTCTTGCCGCCACTCTCTTGCCTCTCTCGTAATGTAAATACCCCGGCTTCATTCACCGAACCTGTTTACCAAGTAACGAAGAAATGAGCTTTAATAACATTCTGAATCATGAGAAATTGCAATTTTTAACTAGATAATCATTACAATCCTGTATAATATGTTGAATGTAAAAGAAAGAGACTTTTTTTATATACATAATTCTCTGTGCTATAGTAAAAGTTGCGATAAATCGCAAAAAGATTTTTAATACGAAGGCAAGTCATAAAAATTATGTTTACCCGATTGATTATAACGACAATGAAATACCTTTTGAAAATAATAATTCAATGTTTAAATGTCTAATGATACGTATAGCATATGAAATAGTGTAAAATAATGTCACGTTATTTATTTTTAAAAATATTTACATACGAAAATTTGTTTCATCCATTAATTATATAATATTATTGCTCCGAGCTACCTTCTACTATCTTCACGTTACCCTTATATAGTTATCCCATTGTAGCCGTGGTGAACATTATAATTTTTAAATTTCTTGATTGTCAGTGTCAAATATGCAATTTGAATGAGAGACATAACAATCCATCTTATAGAGAAATTCTCCTTTAAACAAAAATTATAAACTGTATTAAAGAAAAGAAAGACGTAGAGATATTGAAGTCCGTTAATCAAATTGCTAATGAACGAAACTTTTGATTATAAGACATCTGCGAGGAATAATATATATTTGGCAAAGAGTTGGATTGCCGTGGATCGTTTCGTTTGATTCTTTCGAGCGTTGAAGAAAGTCGGTGAAATTTTTTTAGCAGAAAGAATTAGGCGCGAGCACAGTGGTAAATATTTTCCGAGCTAAGACCTTCATCGAATTACCGCACCACCGGAATTCGATAAAGCTGTGACAACACCTCAAGGGGCCCCTTCCCTCACCAATTCCCTAGCGAGACCCTTCAATTCGCACCTCTTTCCTCCTCGATGTCTCTACGTCACTTCTTCATCCTCTTTCATTTCTTATCCAGACACTATTTCCAATACCTCGATATCTCCAGCTTCTCTATCTTCCCGTATGCTTCATTCTGTTGAAAACGGGACTCATTTTGCCGCCTGTAACTCAGCTTTTTTCACAACCATTTTCACGATTCCAACACCATATTTGTATAGACTCGTCCATTCAAACGGAAATCTCATCCGACTTTAGCTTATAAGGCAATACGTGGACATTTACAGTATTTTGACAGTAGGATAGTTGCATTTTATGTACACGAATAATCCATTGATCTCATGATATTCATATAATAATTACTTCTTTTTTTTTTACATAATACTATAATCATATCCAAGCGTTCGTTTAAAGAAAAACAAATATTTTTCAAATAATATAATAATATTAGATAGTATTAATCTGAAAGATCATAAAAATATTTTTTTTTTTTTTTTTTTTTGCACATTTATAGTGACAAAATTTAGAAGTTTGTTGAATATTTAATCGAAATGTGAACGACAAGGGACAAAGAAATATGAAAAATAATGGACGGCTTTGTTAAAATTTAATAGGAGAAGAGTAATTTAATAACGCGGATAAATGAAATTGACTGGGTTGCTTGGGATTCTTAAATCTCTTCGCGCCTCTACTTATCGCGATGAATCTTGTCATAATTTTACATACATCAATCAACAACAATATTTTACGATTATTTCTCTGATAGCTCTTCTATCTAATTCTTCTCCCCCCCCCATCCCCCATCCCCTCCCCTCCTCCGCGTCGCCCCTCCTGCCAGTCGATAAATTCAAAGCCAAGACCGTTACGAACGTTTATGAACGTATAATACTTCCTCTAGAAAACTAATTATGATCTAATGGGCCGTGAATGGGAACGAGAAGTGTTTAAACTGAACTAAGACTTATCTGTATCATCTAACGAGGCGATAGACCGTACATAAGAGGGGTAAATGTTAGCTAAATGAAGAGCGAGAGAGAGAGAGAGAGAGAGAGAGAGAGAGAGAGAGAGAGAGAGAGAGAGAGAGAGGGGGCGTGATGGGGGATTAGCAAAACTATGGAAAGAGTTAAGATTTAGCGGATAGAAGAAGAAGTAATGGAGACGAGTTAGAGAAAATATATGTATGTCTGTGCGTGAAAGAGAGAATGAATACAGTAGATGTTGGTAGACCGAAAGCGCAAAGTAAGAGACAAGAGAGGCGTTGACGGTGACTTAGGTACCGCTAACAAAAAGCGTTCAATTTCAGTTTAGCCTAGCACTACTTTCGATTTTATCATCTTAATCTCGATCCTACTGTTAGTCTCCTCTTCATCCCCTTCCTACTACATAATGTCTCGCAGCAAATATATTGGCTCAAACCTTTTGCAATTTACGCTGCAGCTCTGATTGCAATTTCACATTGTGCGGTCGAGCGATGCGGAAGTATAAGTAGTTTCGGTACAAGTTCACCTTTTATCCAGACTTCATCCTCCTTTTTCCTCCCGACAAAGTATCGACGTGCACGTGTTGTACACACCCTTTCAATCGGCCATCGCTCCGCAAGAGCCCGGAAGAAAGCCTTTTACAGAGATTCTATCGTAGGTGCTTGGACAGGAAATGAGTAGAGAGTACTTTGAAAAATGAAATTTTTCAAGATAATCCTGGAATTTACTTTACGCACCTATGCCCTTCACACGCACCCACCCAAACAGACGCGCGCGCGCGCGCGCGCAAATAGTGGTTGAAAATAATTTTTTTAAATAAATATATGATATCTTATAGCTAACAACAATTTATTTACTTTTAATTCACTGAAATCCTTAATATGATAAATGAATTCTTACAAAAATCTATCTCTAAATTATTTATTTTTTTTTTTCCTTTTTTTTAACAATCTGATTAATATTTTACTGTTCTCTTTTTTCTCCTTCAAAAAAGCTCGCTTCTATGAAATTATAACAAAAACGTAGGAGGGTTTTCAGTATTTTTTTTTTGTTTTTTTTTTTACTAGATACCGAATTGTACATAAATAAGAACAACTAGCAGTTTAGTTATAATTATAGAATTGTTTATTTCACGTCACTTTTTACACTTTTTCCATGTAATAATCACACAATATAATCTCCCTAGTATTTATTATTTTCTTTAGCTAAATACGGAAAGTTAAGTATAATTAATAATTTTTATTTTTTCACACGCAACATATGAACTTATTTAAATGAAAATTATTTACTATTATCTACTATATATAAGAAAATTATGCTTTTTGCATAAATTGAATATTAAGAGTTACTAAATCAAGGTAAAAACGCAAAAAGATTTTTTATTTATTATTTTACAGTAACGTATAAAATTACAGTTATAAATTATTTTTTCATTTTTCATGAATATTGGAAATAAATGAAAATAAACAATAATTCTAGATTTACAATATTTACAATCTAACATACAGGCATTACTCTAAGCTTAAAAACACACTTACTATTAAAATTTTTAAACCTGTATTAATTCATTTCAGTTTATACGTATGTTTTTATTTTATTCAAGATTTATTGGATTATCGATTATTAATTTGAGGTCAATGTTACAATATAAAAAAAAAAGAAAAAATAATAATAATCATAATAACAAACAAAAAAAAACGAGAAAATTGATATTGATTATATTTAAGAAATGCAGTTTATTAAAGATTATAATTTATTTAATTTTGATAAAATAGTATTTAAAATTTACGTAAATAAACTAAATCGTAAAATATAATTACCCGCCCTTTTTACAACGTTACATTAAACGATATAAGATTAATTCTATAAAATAAAAACAAATCTCTCTCTTTCTCTCTCTCTCTCTCTCTCTCCCTCTCTCTCACTATTTATAAAATTACATCGAATATAAAATAACTCTCTGTAGGAAATATATTTACTGCAAATTACACTTTTACAAACATAGTTTTAAGTTTCTAATAAATTTTTCCTTACGTCGCGTCTAATTATATACCATAGAAATTTTCTTAATAAAATCAAGAGCCCTTTGATAAAGAATATTTTAAACATAGAATAAAATAAAAAATATTACTAAAAATATAAAGTTTTATGATGCGAGTAATACTTTACAAAAATAATTTTGACTTTTGTGAAAATTTTATAAATTTTTTTCTGTAAAATATCATCGGCTAAAATTTTTATAGTATCATCAATGTAATATTTTCATTTTTGTCGGAAAGTGCTGTTATAACAAAGAAAATAAGTTTTATATAAATAAGATCTTCCGTGAAGTGTGATTGGTATAGTGGAATATATATATATATATATATATATATATATATATATATATATATATCATATATAAATAAAAGGCATTTTGATTACACTTTAATTTATCAAGTCAATGCGTAACAAGTATAATTTCTAATTAATATAATTAATGCAGATATGTTGAATCGTTAAATTAAAAAAAATTCACACAAATAGTTTAAATATTTACATTTAAAATATAAAAATCAAGAATACAAAACAAAACAAAAATTATCTTGATATCTTAAAAGCATTTCCATGAATTGGCTTTTAGGAAATAACGTTTCTACCTATAGTGTGTTCTTCGGAAAAAGGCTTCAAGATCGTAAGAGCATTTCTGTGACTCTAAGAAAAAAGTAGTACAAACCTTTATAAGTTCCAGTGGCTCTAAACTTCAAGAAACCTTAAGAAACTTTATCTGTTTTAGAATACTATACATCATTGAAATAGTTATGTTTGAAATGTATATTTTTGACGAAGCATATATCTTTATTATATATTCTGCTGTATTTATTGGTTATATGAATACGAAAATGTAAAAAAAATAATAATTAATTTAGAAGAGAGAGAGAGAGAGAGAGAGAGAGAGAGAGAGTTTTATTTAAAATTCTCCTTATATTATCAGAATGAGCTAAAAATCGATCAAAACAAAAAAAAAACAACAACAATAACAAATAAATGTCTATAATTATAAAATTATTATAAAGAATTGTATGTAAGAGTAATATCAGTAAGATAAAAGAGTATCTTATTAATAGTATTGTTATTTATATTTATATTTATATGAAAAGGAAA